AGGCTGTCTTTAAATTCACCTCTTCACCGACCGCCAAGGCAACGCCATCATGGAGAGCCGGGTGATGAGCCTAGTGCACGACGCATTGCTTTCAAACAGGACAACAGGATCAAGCGGAAGCGCTCACCTGCCAAGGCTCGTCCGTTGTCTGGCCTGTTAGGCGGTGTGTCTGGCCGGGTCTAAGTCGAGCGGCTTCGAGTGATTCCCCGCCAGTACGAATAATTGTGAATATTTCAGGGCCTTTGCAATTTTACCTGACACTGATCCGGAACTCAGATAAGTTTTCAAGTTACCCTTCTACATGCTTATCGTTATCCATGCTGTGTTGCTGCGCCCTCACAGTTTTCTCTCTTATTAACGGTTCTTTCCTCACTGCTATGACAACCTATGCTTCATTTCACGTCTTCGCAAGAATTTTTGGTGCTATGACTGATTCATCGTACATCATGATAGCATCACCAGCGCTATGGTCATTATCTTGCACCTTTGATGCAATACGTTCCACTTACTTTGGGACTTCTCGCACACATGTGAGTCACTCTGGATCCGGTAATTAGCGCTTAGCTACTAAGCGATACCGTCGTGCCCCATGTCAACGCCTCAGTATTGTTTGCTAACAACTAGTACTGAGCTTTTTGCTAGTGTGCGTGTAAAAGGTGTGTAGCCCAAGCTTGCCTTTCTTCGAGTTGTCCTCATTTATTAACAAGTGGTCGTACCTCACAATCTCATACTCGTCTGCTTGCGAAGAGTTGGCACTCCGATAGGCATGGTCCCGAGCTGACTATATAAGGAATACAAAAATTCGGCATCAAATGGAGTGAACGTTACGACTTTCATATCCACAATGCAAATTGAAGATTTTGCATCTTATGGTACGACAGCCTGATGGCCATGCAACTGCCTCATCTACGTGGATTGCACAGATATCACCCCTTTATCTCATTTCGCACTATATAGTGCGAATGTTATTGTCATACTAATCTACCAAGTTCGCTTCTCATCCACACCTAATTCTCTACCAATATGACTATAGTCTATAATGATCCCGCTTGGTGGCCGATCATCAATGCACAACGTACTTTTAGCTATTTTACAGGTTCGTAAAGAGCAGTCGGATTTGATGCTGCCAATATTTCAATCTAACCTCTACTGCTGCCTTGCAGTTGCCGCCTTCGTCGGAATGACATATGATTGGGGTGAGCATGATGATATCCAAGGACTGCTGATTTCTTACAAGTACTTTCAGCACTCACATTTGGACAAGAGGTATGTCGATGCTACGACCGGAGCAGCCATCTCGCTGACAATGGTTTTATAGGTGGAACTGATCTGGGTGAGTAGAGTCTGGTGTCAGAGGAACACACGAAAATACATTTGATTCCAGAGACAACGTTGGTCCCTAATGACAGTTCTGTATCTCGGTGTATGTACCTTATTTGTCACGGTTGCCATGTTGTGCTGACTTGAAAGTATTTTAGGCGCGCTACCTTGGAATCTTATCTGCCGCGTATGTTCGGAAGGCTACACAATCGGTGTTGTGCTAATTGTATATCTCTCATAATCAGCATGTGCATGTTGGGTATGTCTCAGTACATTCGTCTTTGCTTCTTCTGACCAATGGCATTCAGAGAGTGTTCCGACCATCTTGCTGTCAGATACAGTGAGTCTTCTGCACATATAACTGCCATTACTTCCAATTAACCGTAGTGCCCTGTAGGAGTGGGTGTGGCTCTTTACCAACTTATTGGTTCACTAATGACTGCCGTGCTATACTGCCACAGATGTGAGTTTGTTTGGAGTGTGCGCTACCCGAGGCTGGTCACTCACCGGATTCGTCAGGCTTAATTTCGTACATGGTATCGGATTGGACAGTTAATGTGGCATATGCAATGCTGTGGGGTAAGCTTGGCACTTGCGAGACCTCAGCGGTTTTGACTTAACTGAAACATGCTGCAAGTCATCATAATCACTCGGTTGTATGCCATGTATCAGCGATCCAGAAAAATCCTGATAGTTCTCATCGTCACCTTCTTGGCTGTCAGCATTCTTGACGGAGTGACCATCATAATGACAACGATGCAGTTTTCAGGGGGTGAGCTCAATTGTGAATGAAAATCAATGTGCATGGGGCTCATTGATGAATACCAGAGGAATTCATTCTCTCCGGCACTTATCTGTGCCAGATTGACTATCCGGAAGATACTAGTATCCTACTTCTCGTCTCTGCTACTTGGATACTCAGCACCGCGTGGGAGGTCTTCGCGCTATGTCTCGCAGTCTGGATTGCAGTACAACACTTCCGTGAATTGCGACAAAATTCGGCAGGAGGGATTGTAAGGGACTGTTTCACGGTGTTAATAAAAACTCACGTGGTTCACTTTGCGAGGTAAGCTCATTGTGATTATGGTTCCTGTTTTTCCACTGAAGGATCGGACGTGGTAGCTTTGTTGCTGTTTCTTGCTTCACGCTCGTCCTTGATTTTACTCCAATATCCTCAACGGTATGTCAATCTTCCACTTGCCTATGCACGCTACCATAATTTATCGTTTCTATAGGACAATTCCCTGGACGCTTACTATATTATTTATGGGGTTCTTCATATTCTCGAGGTCGTGCAGATATGTGTGCTAGGACCGCGCCTGATCCTTGGTGTTCGAGAATACCACGCTAAGCTCGTTGCCGATGCCGACGCAGCGACTGTTATGACCTCAATCGCTTTCCAGGAGCGTGTGCATATATCGACTGGCAGTGGTGTGTGATACTTGGTGGAGTTAACAGTCGTCTAGTGCTGCAAGGAGCAGGATATTTATTCCCACTTTCATGAAGGTATCAATCGAAGTTATTCGGTCGCCCGATTTCAAAGATACATACAAAGTTTTCGTTGTATTATTTAATCAAGTGATTTGCTATACGTGCTGACGACGTTTGAATCAATATCTTCAATATACTGGTACTAGCTACCCACCCACACTTGCACCAACCATTCGTCCTTTTCTCTGTGCGATGACAATCATTTTTATGATTGCTTAGGGAGCGCGCGCGAGAGTAAAGTCGACTGACAGCGCACTGCCTCAGTTCCTCAGCAATCTATCCTCGATCCGTTTGCTCGCCTCATTCAATGTCCCACTCTCACCTGAATCACACCGGCTGGCTTACAGATGATGATCCATTCAAGGTGATTACAAGGTGCGCGAAGCACGTTCGTGCATGTGTAGCTTGATGATGTGAGGGATGAGTCTTGAAGCTGAAGTTGGTTAATGCTTGTGGACGAACTTGCCTTTCACTTTCGTTCGACGAGGTGGAAATACGGATACAAATGTAAATATATGTAGGATTGTTGCTGAAGCACTACCGGGAGATTCAAAGCATTGTGATATGAAGGCCATGATTCTTTCACTGAGACGCAGCGCCTCCGTGGAGTCAGGGGAGTTTGAATCAATCCAGGGGGGCTAACTTGAACGTCTGGAAACCGCACACCAAATATAAAATAGCTGACGTGGTTCAAAATGGTGACAGCGACGCACCCGGGAACGGACATGCAGGAATCAGCACCAGCGATAGTGCAGGAGTCGAGCATCTGCTGCTTGATGTCGGGTTGCGGACGTGATGGCGAGTTCGAGACAGTGAGAGGCGAATCTCTCGATGTAGCTGCGGCATGACACCGAACCAGAAAAGTCAGAAGTCAGCCGTCAAAGATAGGGAGATGAGGCAAATTCGCATCCTACTCTGGTTACCAATACCTCCCAGCGAGCATACGTCTCAATGTCTCATCTCACCCTTAGGTCATCTGTTGCTTCATGCGCACCCTCTCGCTCTCCACCTCGGAAATTAGGCTACCGTATCATCTGGATGCCAGAAATGGTGAGCGCGGAATACTCGATTTGTATCGTGGAGTTGGTGCGGTGGTGAGGGACATCAGGTTTGACCAGAGACGTGATATTCAGCGATTGATGGATGATCAAGATACAACATCACACCTATATCAAGAGAGCGTCGGGAGAGCAGATGAGAGAAAATGACGCTCAGATGCACAATGGCTGAAGGCGATGACATTCTGTTGGCACCCCATCAGAAAGTTGGTGATTTGAAGAAGTTAAGGGAATAACTCACCAGGTCACCGATCCAAAACGTGCCACACTGAATCCATCATGCAGTTGATGCCCTTCTGTTGACTTACATTCATAGGGTAGCCTGAGTGGGAATGTAGATTGAAACGTCCTCTGTATTTCGCATGAACAAGCTACTATAACGACGCCGGAAACTACACCGACATCTCAGAACTCCGATTGACGATCAAGAGTCGAGACTTGAAAATTCTTGTGGCATTAGGGTCCTTGCATGCTAACAGATTATACAAAGCCGGTTCTGTATTGGTTTGCTTAGCGAAAAACAATCGAAAAAGGACGGGACACTCACCGTGAATGTAGATGTGAACAAAGGTAGATCAGCTGTACGATTTCATCAGGTGGCCTTGGTTAGGCTTTGAAAGAGTGGGATGCCATGGTTAAGGACTAAGTACTTACTTAATGTTAGCGTACCCGGTTGTGGACCGTGTGAATAACATACCATTGATGCTGGTTTATCATGATAAAGCGGGCATAGGCATTTGGGAACAAGAATACTTATATCAGACGAGCAGCCTCAGCGCGAACTTAGACTCCAGTCTGATCGATCGAAGCACGAAGTTTGAAATTTATGACAATTCGCAAGACAGCATAGGCTCGGGAAGAATCGAGTGGCGTAGCCATCTCGGCAGGCGAAGCACGGAGTTTTAATTTTAGCAGTTGTGATGCATCGATGTCGACGAAAGCTGCAATACCATTCACAAGTCTCACTAGTACTCCTTCGTTGACCAAATCACGCTTTATTCCAACATCAGATATCTAGGATATTATTACCATATCACACTCAATGGAACTTGCCAGTCGTTTCAGCCATTCCGACGGTGCGTCACTGCGCCCTCACGTCTCCAACTACTACCTTCACTTTCACGACGAACGATGTCTTCTTCCTCTGGAAACACTTTTTATGATCTGGAGGCAGAGCTGCCTAACGGGCAAGCGTACGACTTTGAACAGCTCAAAGGGAAGGCTGTCTTGACTATCAATGTTGCATCGAAGTGGTGAGTCGGTAACTATGGTAGACCTACGAGGGACTCACTCTTCGGAATCTTCAGTGGTTTCACTCCCCAATACAAAGGTGCAGTCTATGATAGTTCTCGAAGTTGATACGCAACTGACAAAGGACGCTCAGGCCTTCAGGCTTTGTACGACAAGTACAAGGAACGCGACTTTGTCATTCTTGCCTGCGCCAATTGTCAGTATCGGCGGGCAATGGTGCCACTGCTTTGACAGTCCCCCCAAGTCTTGGAAAGCTGCCAAAGTTAATTGGACTGGCCATTTTCGGAATCGATGTGTCCTTGACGAGGCAGACGATCGCCAATATCCAGCAAGCACGATGTCTTCAGACCCTCAAGCTCAATTTGTGCGGAACCTCCTGCGATGCGAGTGGTATACCCCTTGAATTGCCCAGTCTCAAAACCCTCTATCTCTCTGAGGGTTCCTTGTCAGTGCACGCACTTCCTTCGTCAAGTCACCACCCGACAACTATCACGGATCTTCTAGCCTGGCCGAAGTTACCGCGTTCGTGGGATCCTGGTCGACGTCGTGCCAAACTTTTGAACATTTGGAACGGATCTGTGTGATCGACAAATCAGAACATCTTGATTATCTATTCGTCATCCCACTCCACTCCGAAAGCTTCCGGCCATTTTTTAAGTTCAAGAGGCTGGAGTCTGTTAAATTCGTTGGCATTGGAAATTTCGAACTTGACGATAGGTTCCTCAATGATGTCCCAATTGCCTGGCCGAGTATTCAGGAATTGAAGTTCATCTCCTGGAAGAGACGTGCCTTTTATAGCGCCACCTTCACCGCTATGATGTCACTGGCGTCAAGGTGCAGATCGCTGCAGACCCTGCATCTGACGGTCGATGCTACGCAATCGATGACAATTCCTCAAGCACCGGACGGGACCGAGGAGCTTTGGCCTACGCAGACCACCCTTCGCAACTTGCATCTTGGGTACTCCCGGGTGTCGGCAGTTGCACACGTACCATATTTCCTGGCCGAGGCATTTCCAACTCTATGGGATTTCAAATTTTACGAACGTTGCTTGAGGAATTGCGCTACCGATATTGATTTGCAACTAGCACTGGAGGAAGCACATTCACAACTAAGGGCGCTTCGGAACTCCCCTTACGAAAATTCGGATAAGCTATGGGACACTGATTCAGGCGACAGTGGGACGTGAGGAGCGTAGGAGTGGATGTTCCATCGTAACGCAATCAAGGTTGTATTTAGACTAGAGTGATATAGCTGCTGTGTACGTCTACTCTATCATGCTTGTATTCCTGGTGTTGGTATATGTCTGAAAGCAGCAAGACTGACCTTGAAAGAAGTAACTCACGCTGTGGTTCATTGTTTATTGCCACCGTACCGTTTCACTGGGCTTACGCTGAGTTACGGCTGCGATATACCCTGTACTCAAGATTTCGTTCATGCTAGACGCATGAGAAGTCCTGTCTTTAAATTCACCTCTTCACCGTCCACCAAGGCAACACCATCATGGAGAGCCGGGTAATGCGAACCTAGTGCACGATGCATCATGATTGCGCACACAATTTGCAATAGAGATGCATTCAAACAAGACAACAGGATCAAGCGGAAGCGCTCACCTGCCAAAGCTCGTACGTTGTCAGGCTTGTTAGACGGTGTGTCCAGCCGGGTCTAACTCGAGGGACTTAGGGTGATTCCCCTGCCAGTACAAATAATTATGAATATTTCATGGTGCAGTGCAAGCTTACCTGACATATCCGGAATCCGGATAAGTAAGGAAGGGTAGGAATAAAGTTTTTACATAAGTTATGCTCTTATTAACAGTTCTTGTTCTTTCCTCACTGCTATGATAACCTGTGCTTCATTTCACGACGATGTTGTTCTTCGTAAGAAAAACTTTTAGTGATATGACTGATTCATGGCATATAGCATCACGATTCACCAGGGCTATGGTCATTATCTTGCACCTTTGATGCAATATGTTCCACTCACTTCCATACTTCTCACACCATATGACACATGCGAGTCCCTCTGGATCCGGTAAATAGCTACTAAGCGAAACCGTCGTGCCCCATGATGTTAACGCCTCAGTATTGTTTGCTAGCAACTAGTACTGAGCTTTTCGCTAGTGCACGTGTAAAATGTGTGTAGCTCAAGCTTGCCTTTCTTCTGGTTGTCCCCATGCATTAACAAGTTGTCGTACCTCCCAATCAATCTCATACTCGTCTTGCGAAGAGTTGGCACTCCGATAGGCATACTAGTTGCTCAAGGTCCCAAGCTGAAATGAAATTTCTATATAAGGAATACAAAAACTCGGCCCATCTGGAGTGAACGTTACCGGCCATCGAAGTTTTCTGCACTAGTACCATTTTAATCCTTATGGCACGACAGCCCGATGATCATGCAACTGCCTCATCTACGTGGATTGCACAGATATAACCCCTTTATCTCATTTCGCACTGGATGGCGGTATACATATAGTGCGAATGTTATTGTCATACTCATCTACCAAGTTTGCTTCTCATCCACACCCAATTCTCTACCAATATGACTATAGTCTCAGATGATCCCACTTGGTGGCCGCTCATCAGTGAAAGTCGATTTTTTAGCTATTTTATAGGTTCGTAGAGAGCAGTCGATTTGATGCTACCAATGTCTGAACGGTTTCCCAGTTGCCGCCTTCATTGGACTGATATATGATTGGGGTGAGCATGATGATATCTAAGGACCACTGATTTCTCACAAGTACTCTCAGCACTTACATTTGGAGAAGAGGTATGTCGATGCTGTGACCGGAGCAGCCATCTCGCTGAGAATGGTTTTATAGGTGGAACTGATCTGGGTGAGTAGCGTCTGGTGTCAGATGAACACACACGAAAATACATTTGATTCCAGAGACAACGTTGGTCCCTAATGACAGTTCTGTATCTCAGTGCATGTACCTTACTTGTCACTGTTGCCATGTCGTGCTGACTTAAAAGTATTTTAGGCGCGCTACCTTGGAATCTTATCTACTGCGTATGTTCGGAAGGCTACACAATCGGTGTCGTGCTAATTGTCTACTATCTCTCATAATCAGCGTGTACATGTTGTGTATGTCTCAGTACATCCGTTGTCTTTGCTTCTTCTGACTAATGGCATTCAGCGAATGTTCCAACCATCTTGCTGTCAGATACAGTGAGTCTTCTGCACATATAACTGCCATTCCCTCCAATTAACCGTAGTGCCCTGCAGGAGTGGGTGTGGTTCTCTGCTAATTTATTGGTTCACTAATGACTGTCGTGCTATACTGCCACAGATGTGAGTCTGTTTGGAGCGTGTGCTACCCGAGGCTGGTCACTCACTGGATTCGTCAGGTTTAATTTCGTACATGGTATGGAATTGGGCAGTTCTTGTGGTGTTTGCGATGCTGCGGGGTGAGCTTGGCACTTGCGAGACCTCAGCGATTTTGACTTGACTGAAACATGCTGCAAGTCATCATAATCGCTCGCTTGTATGCCATGTATCAACGATCCAGAAAGATCCTGATATTCCTCATTGTCACCTTCCTGGCTGTCAGCATTTTTGACGGAATGACCACCATAATGACGACGATGGGGGTTTCAGGGGGTGAGTTCAATTGTGGATGAAAATAAATGTGCATGAGGCTCATTGATGAATACCAGAGGAATTAATTCTCTCCGGCACTTATCAGTGCGAGATTAACTATCCGGAATCGGATATCATACTTATTCCTGCTACTTGGATACTCAGCATCATGTGGGAGGTCGTCGCACTATGTCTCGCAGTCTGGATCTCAGTACAACACTTCCGTGAACTGCGACAATATTCGGCAGGAGGGATTAGAAGGGACGACTGTTTCATGGTGTTGATAAAAAGTCACATAGTTCACTTTGCGAGGTAAGCTCATTGTGATCATGGTTCCTGTTTCTCTACTGAAGGATCGAATGTGGTAGCTTTGTTGCTTTTTCTTGTTTCATGCTCATTGTTGATTTTACTCCAACATTCTCAATGGTATGTCAATCTTCCACTTGCCTATGCACGCTACCATAATTTATCGTTTCTATAGGAGAATTACCTGGACGCTTACTATATTATTTCTGGGTTTCTTCAGATTTTGCAGGTCGTACAGATTTCTGTGCTGGGACCGTGGTTGATCCTTGGCGTTAGAGAATACTACGCTAAGCTCGTTGCCGATGCCGACGCAGCGACTGGTATGAACTCAATCGCCTTCCAGGAGCGTGTGCATATATCCACTGGCAGTGGTGTGTGATCCTTGGTGAAGTTAACGGTCGTTTAGTGCTCTGCAAGGAGCTGGATAATTTATTCCCACTGTCATGAAGGTACGAACTTATTCGGTGTCCCGAAGTAGATTTCAAGGATACATACAAAGTTTTCATTGTATTACTATTTAATCTAGTGATTTGCTATACGTGCTGACTATGTTTAAATCAATATTCTCGATATCTCTATGTACTGGTACTAGCTGCCCACATACTGCAGTCACTTTACCCTTGTATAATACATACAGCCAAGGTTGAAATATCCCTGTTCTACACAGGCCATCCCATGTGGGCCCATCAATGTATTGCTGTGTTAAACACAGGCGGGCCAATGTCAAGTATGTATCTAATATAAACAGTGGGCCCATGGTATTAGTGTAGTAGATAAGTGTAGACATTCCTATTGACTTTGGTAGGTAGTGTATGAAGTATGTACCTGATGCTAACAAGCGGGCCGAGTTGGCGGTGGTACTGATATATACAGATGGGCCGAGATCTAATACAAACAGTGGGCTCATGGTACGTAGTGTAGTAGATAAGTGTAGACATTCCTATTGACTTTGGTAGGTAGTGTATGAAGTATGTACCCGATGCGAACAAGCGGGCCGAGTTGGTGGTGGTACTGATAAATACAAATGAGCCGAGATCCTAAGTATGGAGAATGATCACAGACACAGGTCGGTCAATTGGTCGGTGATTCCAGACCAGCTTCCAGAATGGACCTGCCAGGACCACCTCGGTCAAATATGACAAATATCCTACGCCGCATGAACTGAAAACCCGATAAAGATCAAGCCGACGTATGAATCACACATGACTCAATGTACATTCAAATCCATACCAAAATAATTAAATTCAAAACCAAGTTGTATACAAGTAAATTTCGCCGACCGACACATCATATACAGTACAACTATGTAATCCACTTAATGATTGGGGAGGGAGTGCACGGGA